TCCCGGACTCCAACAACCCTCGAGAGCTCAGCCCACCATCCCACGCACCCATCAGCATGATGATGGCCGACCTGTCCGAGATCACGGAGGAGGAGAGCTGGAGCGGGAGACTGCGGCGGCCCAAAGCCAGGGAGGACCAGGAATCGACGGCTGAACCCGATGCATGCGAGACAGATCAGACTGAAGCTGTAGACGCTCAAAGCCCAACGGCCTCGGAAGACGGAGAAACGCACGCAGACGCAGACCTGTGCAGATCCAACCATGCCAACAAAACTGTGTTGTGCCTGAATGAGGAATCTCACAATCAGGTGCGTCTGATGATGCAAAACAGACAAAATATGAATTTTTTGTTCATTTAAAGTGAGACACTATATGTAAAGCAATTGTTTTGGGGGTTTTTGTGCACTGGTCAATTTTTACTGTGTTGTGCCTGAATGAGGAATCTCACAATCAGGTCGTTTGATGATGCAAAACAGAAAAATATGACTCTTTTGTTCATTTATTTCGAAACACTATAGGTAAAGCAATTGTTTTTTCATGCACTGGTCAATTTTTACTGTGTTGTGCCTGAATGAGGAATCTCACAATCAGGTCGTTTGATGATGCAAAACAGAAAAATATGACTCTTTTGTTCATTTATTTCGAAACACTATAGGTAAAGCAATTGTTTTTTCATGCACTGGTCAATTTTTACTGTGTTGTGCCTGAATGAGGAATCTTGCAATCAGGTGCGTTTGATGATGCAGAACAACCAAAATATGACTCTTTTGTTCAACTATAGTTAAAGCAATTGTTTTTTCGTGCACTGGTCAATTTTTACATTTTGGGCTATTTTGCTTCCATAACATGCCACCTTTGTGTTGAAGCTTGTTTCTGTCATGGAATTAATTTTTTTTTTTTTTTTAAAAGCAATTGGTACTTTTTTATTTCACAATTCTGATTTTATATCTCGCAAGTCTGAGTTTTTCCAACAATTTGAAATTTTTCTTGCAATTCTGAGTTTTTTTCTCGCAATTTGAATTTTTTTCTTGCAATTTTGAGTTTTTTCTCACAATTAGAATTGTTTCTTGCAATTCGGAATTTATTTCTCTCAATTTGATTTTTTTCTTGCAAATCTGAGTTTATTTCTCACAATTTTAATTTTATTCTTGCAATTCTGAGTTTCTCAAAGTTTGATTAATTTTTTTTTCATATTCCTGATAAGAAAGGTCTGAATTGTGAAATACAAAACTCGCAATTGCGAGATATAAAGTCAGAATTGTGGGATATAAACCCAGAATTCTGAGAAAAAAAGTCCAAAATGTCTTTTTAAATGTTTTATTCCATGATGGTAACTAAAAAAACAGAATTGCAAGATGTAAACTCACAGAAATACACTTCCATATCTTTCAGACTAGTGAAAGAAAACATCTAAAATACACATTTAAGTGTTTATTTTATTGCACTTTATCAATTTGCATCTGTAGATTTCAATTTTAATGCATATCTTTAAACACAGTGAGTTTTTTCTCCACTTCTGTAGCACTTTCACACACCAAACCTTACAGTTTTATTCCTATTTATATTCTAAAGGTTTTTACAGAGGTGTTTGTTCATATAACATTGCCCTGATTTCATTATTATATCTTTAAAGGCTGTTTTCTCAAAATTAGTTTCTTTCTCCAGTTTCTGTTCTGGAAATGTATGCAAATTAGTACATATTTAATAAGATAATGCCTCATTTGCTTTCTTTCACCAAACCTTACAGTTTTATTCCTATTTATATTCCAAAGGTTTGTTCATATAACATTGCCCTGATTTCATTATTATATCTTTAAAGGCTGTTTTCTCAAAATTAGTTTCTTTCTCCAGTTTCTGTTCTGGAAATGTATGCAAATTAGTACATATTTAATAAGATAATGCCTCATTTGCTTTTTTTAAACATAACATGTCAGAAAACAAAACAGTTGTCTTAATGCACTGGGGAAAGTATGAATTAGTTCAACATGTTGATGTAAAATGAATAATGAATATATTTTGTGTTGTTTTCTTTTTCTCAGTGGATCTCATTGCGGGAGCTGCTCTCGTGCTCTGGTCAGCCGTTCTCGGTGAATGAGCTCTGGGCTTTATGCTACACGTGTCTCTCCACGCTACAGACATATATCGACCTCCCAGGTCAGTCGGGTACATCAAAGATACTCTGTTTCGTCTTTATTTAGGTATTACGTCCATAATAACTTTATATTAAAGGGATAGTTCACCCAAAAATGAAAGTTCTGTCATCATTTACACACACAATCAAGTTGTTCCAAACCTGTATGAGTTTCTGTCTTCTGTTGAACATTAAAGAAAATAATTTGAAGAATGTTGGAAACCAAACAGTTGCCGGTAGCCACTGACTTCCATAGTATTTGTTTTTCCATACTATGGGAGTCGATGGGGACCAGCAACTGTTTGATTACTAACATTCTTCAAAATATCTTCTTTAATGTTCCACACAAGGAAGGAATTCATACATGTTTGGAACAACATGAGGAGTGGTAAATTATGACAATTTTCACATTTGTCTGAACGATCCATTTAATTAATAATGTTAATGTATGTAACATTGTTACATTGTGCAGTGCATTGATCATTTACATGTTAGTTAATGTTGTTTCATTTAAAAGTAGGGCTGCAAAATTATTCTTTACATTTTCGGTAATTTTTGGCAAGTTTCCAGAAATTCTCACAAGTTAAAAAAAAATGTCTGAAAGTTTCCAAAAATTCTGGAAAGTTTCCGCCTCTTTGCAACCCTATTCAAAACTGTTTTAAATAACCTTTTCTAATACTTGTATTAGAAGCTGATTTTAATTCAGGGACCTTATAGAATATCTGTAGTTTTGAAAATTAATTTGTTACACTGAAGGAGTAAAGCGAACATCAAAAAAGTTCAAACATGATCAAAAATGAAAAAAGATACATAAGTGGTGAGCATCTTAAAACATACACTTTACATTGAGCACTGTGAAAAAAGTCTACAAAACAATTGATTAATATACACTACCAGTCAAAATTTTGGAATAATTAAGATTTTTCAAAGAAGTCTCTTCTGCTCACCAAGGCTGCATTTATTTGATCAAAAGTACAGTAAAAATTGTGAAATATTATCACAATTTAAATAACTGTTTTCTGTGTGAATCTGTTAAAATGCAATTTAATTTACATCATTACTCAAGTCTTCAGTGTCACATGATTCTTCAGAAATCATTCTAATATGCTGATTTTTTTTTTAAAGTGACTTGACATCCCTATAAATTTTAACCTAAAATCTTGAATGTTATTTGCCAACTACGCACATTCAGATAGTTAGAGAGTGTTACCAACCATCTCCATTTAACACAAACTAATACTAGTATTTATTTAGCAACTGTTTGCTCCATGTTTACGTGATCTCTATGATCTGTGGCTCCTGTTTGAGAAGCATAACTGTGCTCTATATTACATTAGACTACCTGTGTCTGGACTCTGTGTATGTGGGCTGTGAAGGAGAGATGCTGTTTCTGAGACCTAAAAACTCAGGTACGAGAACTACAGAAAATCTCATTACCATCACAACTCAACATCTGCCAATGAAGAGTCCATATTAGATGCAACAGAAAGCAACTTTACATGTAGAATAACTCACGCTTTAAAACAACACTCGCATGTTCTTAAGTGAATGCAATTATTATAATTGTTATTAGTTCATTAATTCTGTTCCTGTTGTCTTCTCAGCCTCCTGTGATGCATTTTTTCTGGCTCCTGAGTTTCAAGAACATGGAATTGTGACGGAAAAGGTTTGTCGCTGTCTAGTAGTTGTCGTCTGTCTAAACAAACGTCGTTTACAGTGTGTTTTTGCTCATCTCTAGGCGTGTGTGTATGGGGTAGCAGCTGTTCTCTGGGCTACAGCCAAGTTTAATTTGTCTCCCAATCAAAAGCTGGCCATGCCGAGAAAACTCAAGAGACTTCTGCTTGAGATGGCCAAAAGAACTCCAATCGAAAGACCTTCTATTGAAATGGCGAAAAAGGTACTTGAGAATGATCTTTAATTTAGTCATTAAAAAATGCGGAGTCATGCTTAAAGTAATATTTCACTGCAAAATATAGGATAAGATTATATAAGAGTATTATATTTATTATAAAGTAAAAAAATTGAACTTTATTTACATGTTTGTGTGTGTGTGTGTGTGTATGTATGTGTGTGTGTGTGTGTGTGTATAGTTTAAAAAATATTGAATTATATGAAAAATGGAAAATTTTAAAAAGAAATAATAAAAAAGAAAAATTAATATAGTAAAACTTATTTATATAGAGAGAGAGAGATGATGATGGTGTATTATTATTATATTAGTATTTATGTATAAGGTTGCAGAAAGGTGGAACATTTCCAGTAAATTCTGGAAATATTCTAGAAATTTTGGAAACTTTCCAGGATTTTTTTTGGTGTATTCCAGGGATTTTTGGAAAAGTTTCCGGAAATTTACCAGAAATTTTCCACCCCTTTGCAACCCTATTTATATAGCGATGTATCATTTAAATTAAATAAATTCTGATTTTAATAATTCATTAAACACTTTGTCCAGAAAGGATGATTTTAATTACTGAATTAAAGTAACATATGTTTTGCATTACTGTAATGCAAATTTTGTGTAATTATCCTGAAATTAATGTCACAATGTAATTACAGTCTTAATGGTAATAAATTAGATTTAATTTTCTTTATGCATTGAATGCATCTCTGTTTTTTCATCCAAACACAAGCTCTGTTTTCTCCTGTAACATATGCATCCAGGCTGTTTACCTATGCTAATGTGCTTTATGTCGGCTGTTATATTTCAGTTTTGCTGTGACTACCTCTCCCGCCAGGGAACGAATGCCGAGAGCGTGTGGACGCAGATCATCAGCCGAGTTCACAAGGTGAAGCGTCACACCTCATTCATACGGAGCATCTGTGCAGATACGGATCTGATGGAGTCACGCGGGGCAGGGTTTCATCAGTCCTGTGATCTTGTCTTTTCGGTTTTATAGAGTCTCTTCTGTTTGTGTGTTTCACCCGCCTCCAACTGTCTCAGAAACATCATCTCTGCCTGAATCTGTCCCTCCTTCTGCTGCATTAAACATGCCAATCCAGTGATATCAGCGGCAAACAGACGCCTCTATAGGCACCGACCCATCCAAAGCCATTTCTGTCCTATTTGCACATCTGCTACATATTGTTTTGACTCCGGTTTCCAAATAGTCATGACATTTTCACGAGTTCCCACAGGAATGTTATTTCTCAGAGGTTGTGTTTAAGGCAAGACTACGGAGCCCCGCACATGGCATGCAGGAAAAAAATAGTAGGCTAAATCGTGTGCACAATTTACTATTTCGTTCCCTTGATTTATAAATTGTGCACACGATTTATAAATCGAGAGAACAAATTAGTAAATTGTGCACACGATTTAACAAATTGAGGGAACTAAATAGATTTGTCTTTTATCACTCCATAATTCAGAAAATAGTGTCTGTAGAGGAAAAAAAACACATTTTCACCATGTTTTTAGGAATAAAAAAATTATATAAATCAGTCTGAATGTTAAATGAACAAACCCCTCTATAAAAATCTTCAGAATATAGACAGGAATAAAACTGCTAAGTTTGGTGTGTGAAAGTGTTAATGAAGTGGAGAAAAAAAAAATGTCTTCAAACATATGTATTGTAATAATAAATCAGTCAAATGATATATGAGCAAACCCTTCAATAAAAACCTTTAGAATATAGATAAGAATAAAACTTGAAAATTTGTTGTATGTGTTTCTGGAGTAGAGGGGGGGAAACTTTTTGAAACAAAAAAAACATGTTTAAAGATATGTATGGTAATTGAAATCTACAGATGCAAACAGATAAAGTAAAATAATAAATTCTATGTCAATGAGATGAAATCCCTCTATAAAAACCTTCAGAATATGGATAGGAATAACACTGTAAAATGTTCTGTATGTAAGTGTTACTGAAGTGGAGAAAGTAGAAAATAGCCTTGAAAGATATGCATTGTTATTGAAATCTACAGATATAAATAGGAAAAGTGCAATAATAAAATGTAAGGGAATGTTATATGAAGAAACCCTTCTGTAAAAAAATTCACAATATAGATAAGAATAAAACTGTAAAGTTTGGTCTACGTAAGTGTTACTGAAGTGGAGAAAAAATCTTGTTAAACATGTATTGTAATTGAAATGTACAGGCATAAATAGGAAAAGTGCAATAATAAATCAGTCGAATGATATATGAAAAAACCCTTCTATAAAAATTTTCAGAATTTAGATAAGAATAAAACTGTAAAGTTTGGTCTACGTAAGTGTTACTGAAGTGGGTCACTATATACATACATGTATATATATACACAGTATTTATACATAATTGTAGTGTTTATGTAAGTGTAGGACACATATTTTCACACAAATTATACATTTGTTTGAATTGTCTTATGTCACTATATACAGGTGTGTTGTCTTTCTCTCAGGTTTTGTCCCGTTGGCCAGCGAGGGCCGTTTGGAGCCTGTAGCTGGTCCAGTTCCTCATCATTACCCAGAATCCTCCAGCAGCGTCAGACTGCCCGAGGCCTTCACTTCTCCTGCCACACACTTCAGCCCCATAATACTGACTCATCACCCGCAGTCTGAGCTGTAGGTCTGCAAAAACACACTCACTGATTTCAGGGAATCCCAGAATGCATCATTATTTTGCATGAAATTGAGTCATCGGTGAATTATTGAATCAGGGACTTTGCTACTTGTGTTCACAATATGCTGATTAATGACAATGAATGCTGTTAGTTTTGGACCACTTTGACACATTTTAACCTGGTTAATAATTCTTCAAATCAGTACATTTTTGCAAACCAGAGATTGTAGTTTTAGTGTGTTGTCAAGGGAGATCATATTTTATGAAGTCTAATATTATCTATCTTGACCAGTGTTATTTTAGTATTATTCATATACTATTATAATTTGAATTAATAATTTGAATTAGTTTTTATTTTTATACTTTTAGTTTTCATTCTAAGTTTAGTTACATTTTTAGCTATTTTATGTGCTTTTGTCATTTTTTTTGTATTGCTTTTTAAAATTTATTTAAAAAATGTATTATTTATTGTAACAATTTATTGTTATGTCAGTTTTTAATTATTTCATTTCCAGTTCATAATTTTAGCGCTTCAACTTAAACTAAACGAAAAGAATACATGTTGCCTTGGCAACATGAAATTAGTTTTTCATCTAATTATTTTATTTTATTTTTCAATTAACAAAAGTATTTTAACACTTTCAGTTTTAGTTAATGGCATTAAAGGGATAGTTAATCCAAAAATGAAAATGTGATGTTTATCTGCTTACCCCCAGGGCATCCAAGATGTAGGTGACTTTGTTTCTTCAGTAGAACACATTTGATGATTTTTAACTTTAACCGTTGCAGTCTATCAGTCTTATATAAACATCTCTCCAAGATGGCGCCGACGCTGATGGCTGCCTCCGTGGCGTGCTCCGCAGTTGTTTTTATGTTTTTGTTAGTTTGTCCTGTCTTTAGTTATATCCCTGCAATCAGTTTCACCAGAGACGAATTGCTGGACATTCGGCAGCCTAAAGTTGACTTTATAGCTGAACTCAAGTTTAGGTTCTAATGTTCTTGTTTTAAATATATTTAAGCATTGTCAGTCAGTCTATTGACACGCCATTTTATTATTATTATTTATTTATTTCATTGTTTTACATATTTTTACTTTTTGAAAAAAAAGTTACATTTTGAAATTTCTGTTTTGTTGTTTTATTATTTTTACGACTTTTGTCATAAATTCACTGCTTTTTTTCCTATTAGAAATTTAAGTTCCTCGACTTAAACTGAAACCAAGCCGATCTAAAATAGTAAAATAGTTAACAATAACTCTGGTCTGAATCCCTAAAGTTGACTTTAAAACTGAACTCAGGTTTAAGCTCTAATGGTCTTGTTTGAATTATTTTCCAGGATTGTCAGTGGACGCTCTGTTGAGGACATCACGGATGAAACGATCCTGCGAGAGGCAGATGAACAGGAAGAGAGCGCCGCTGAGGATGATGAGACGGCTGGTGTTTTCTCTGTCGGTTATTCATCATCATCCAGCTGTAAGACTCTTGTGAATTCACCGCCTCCAGCGACTCCCCAAATAACCAATCAAGAAACAGAAGACCAGCCACACTTCCCTGCCTTGTCCTGTGCTAATGGGATTTGTAACAACTTCCTGCTACAGCAAGACCCCCTGACAGGAAGTCTCACCCTACTTCCTGTTCAGATCGCCGTGCTTCAGCCAATCACAGGCGCGGATGAAGCTTCTGATGGCAGTGTGAGGAATGAAAGCGTCTGTGTGACCCACAGAGACTCGGCAGTGTCTCCTGAAAGTCCAGTGACAGATATAAGAGTTCAGCCCAACGCTGCGCCTCACTGTGTGAACCTCAGCCCGTCACGCTCGCGTCTGCAGCACATCATTGAGCTACTCAGAGAACAGTTTGCTTTTGATGGCTACCTGAAGAATGGAGTCCAAGATCTGACTATGGGTAAAAAATTAATTAGCTTTTTTTAAAGACTTATTTTAACTTTTCTACATAATTTACTTATACTCAGGGCCTAAAATTAACACTCGCCAAGCGCCAAATGCGAGTAAAAATCGGCGTTGGCGAGTATATGTAACAATGTCAGTCGCCAGTAAAACTTTTACGAAATATAACAATGCAATGTAGCGAGAACACATACGCTGAGCCGCTTCAGACAGCGCACCAGTAGCGCTTCAACGGACGGAAACACACACAATTACATCAAAATTTGCGGTTTTGGCGAGTTACCTCGTAAACGTAGTCTTAAATGAGTTATAAAGTCTTAAATGACCGTAAAGAGTTTGGAGAAAATAGGACGTGTGTCAGATCAGCTTCATGTGCATCAGGTTTTAAAGAGACAGCGCTGCTTTTAACGTAAAACCTGCTGAAGTCTGTCATTGATGTAAATCAAAAGAGAAATCACTCGACTGCTCTAGTCGCTGATTAATAAAGATTAATCTGTATAGTTTATGGATATACAATTTATAGTTCATATGAAGATTGTTTTAAAATCACTTAATATTTCAGAGCCTATTAAATGTTAATTTAATAGTTCAATACTTTAAGTCAATACTTCATTAATAATAGGCTACTTAGTAAAAAGATGCCATTAAAAACATATTTAAAATATACTGTCTCGATGTTGTTTCTACATTAATTTGAAGGTTCAATATGAAATTATGACAATATAAATATGCAATTAATCATGATTAAATACAGAAAAATTTGATTAATATTTTTTAATCGATTGACAGACAGCACTAATGTTAACCTTTTATAGATTTTAGATTTCAATTTAATTGAAGTCTCACCCTACTTCCTGTTCAGATTGCCGTGCTTCAGCCAATCACAGGCGCGGATGAAGCTTCTGATGGCAGTGTGAGGAATGAAAGCGTCTGTGTGACCCACAGAGACTCGGCAGTGTCTCCTGAAAGTCCAGTGACAGATATAAGAGTTCAGCCCAACGCTGCGCCTCACTGTGTGAACCTCAGCCCGTCACGCTCGCGTCTGCAGCACATCATTGAGCTACTCAGAGAACAGTTTGCTTTTGATGGCTACCTGAAGAATGGAGTCCAAGATCTGACTATGGGTAAAAAATTAATTAGCTTTTTTTAAAGACTTATTTTAACTTTTCTACATAATTTACTTATACTCAGGGCCTAAAATTAACACTCGCCAAGCGCCAAATGCGAGTAAAAATCGGCGTTGGCGAGTATATGTAACAATGTCAGTCGCCAGTAAAACTTTTACGAAATATAACAATGCAATGTAGCGAGAACACATACGCTGAGCCGCTTCAGACAGCGCACCAGTAGCGCTTCAACGGACGAAAACACACACAATTACATCAAAATTTGCGGTTTTGGCGAGTTACCTCGTAAACGTAGTCTTAAATGAGTTATAAAGTCTTAAATGACCGTAAAGAGTTTGGAGAAAATAGGACGTGTGTCAGATCAGCTTCATGTGCATCAGGTTTTAAAGAGACAGCGCTGCTTTTAACGTAAAACCTGCTGAAGTCTGTCATTGATGTAAATCAAAAGAGAAATCACTCGACTGCTCTAGTCGCTGATTAATAAAGATTAATCTGTATAGTTTATGGATATACAATTTATAGTTCATGTGAAGATTTTAAAATCACTTAATATTTCAGAGCCTATTAAATGTTAATTTAATAGTTCAATACTTTAAGTCAATACTTCATTAATAATAGACTACTTAGTAAAAAGATGCCATTAAAAACATATTTAAAATATACTGTCTCGATGTTGTTTCTACATTAATTTGAAGGTTCAATATGAAATTATGACAATATAAATATGCAATTAATCATG